AAGAAAATCTCAAAGCCTGCTTCCATTGAGACATTTTCTGCACAGCACACACACTCTGGAATATCTCATTATTCTCTACACAACAGGGCTGGAATAAAAAGGAATGATTTGTTGTCTGGATCCAGTGGATCATCTGAACAATGCTCTGAACAACTCTACTGTAACTGCAAGAGGGGGGGAAAAAGCCACTACAGAACTGGAAGCAGACCAACAATCAGTCCGTCGAAACAGCAAATTTAGTATCCGCGCAGCTGAAAACGCAGCCTCCATTTGCATGACAAACGGGACGTTTGTGCAAGGGGTGCGAGGGCCGGCCGGGGCTGCAGGCGGGACACGAGCTGGGAGGGCCGTCACTGTGCACAGCGCACAACAGTCAGGGTAAAAACCTTGTTGGGCAACATTCAAGTAGAAGCAGCAGCGAGACTTTTAGCCATGTCAGAACAGAAGGAGAGGCAGCTCAAACCTCATCACATTCTCTTCTTCAGTCACACTTTTGTCAACGTTCGTTTTTCTTAAAACGTCTGACTGACCAACATTTAAGAACACGAGTCGTTTCTCTTGGGGAGATGAAACATTTGAATATTCACCTCCCCTAATCATTTGAATCCAGTCTAGAATGCATATGTGAGCAATTTCTGAGCCCCTCCCAGGCAATAATTACAGCTGAAATTACCTCCTGTTTTCCTGCGAAGCTGCCGCTCTCGCTGTAATTTAAATCCCATCCGGAGCCACGTCCTTACATTTCACAGTAAATCTTTCAGTGTTTAGAGAGAGGGGAGACATTTGCTGTGGTAATGTGGGCTCCAGGTAGGCCTTAATGTTCTCTTCAAGTCTCATTTGTTATTCATTAAAAGCATAGAGGAACATACATTGCATATGAGTGTAGTTCACATATTACTAATGGAAACTAAAGAGAAATGGTTACATAGTTACCTTGATGATACACATCAGTATGTAAAATGAATAACACAGACTCCGGTTCACTTCTGGGGTTCCACAAGGTTCAGCACTGGGCCCCTTTTAACTCTTCATATTGTACACAGATGGCATGTGTTAAAATTCACTTTATTTTCTGCTGACACTAACTTATGTTGCTCTGGTAAAAGGTCTGGAACAGCTGCGGAATAAAGTGGAAAGGGAACTGAAAGTTTTAAAGAAACTGTGTGGCATTACTAAAATGTATCAACCCAACACATGGAATAGGGCTGTGCCATATCAAACCATCCACAATAATACTGGTATAATATTTAGCTTGAGTTGAACTCGTGTGACAGGAAGAACAAGCTGTGGATGGAAACTACTGAACACCTGAAGTTATATGAGAGGTCAAAAAGCAACTGGTTAAAAAACTCGGCCCAAGATAC